AGTGAAAAAGTCGAAGATAAGTTTACTCCTGATAGGATTTTTCTTAGATGGTCACCACTCATTTTTATTGTTTTAGCTTCGGGCTACGTTTCTTTCTCGTCTGAATCGTGATCATATCTGGGAGGCAGTAGCGTTCTTCCTTCCTAAGTGTCCGGTCCTGAATGAGGGTGCTTGTGGTGAACTCTGGCGACACATCTCTTGCAGCTGCCATCGACAATATGGCACTGAATAACAACAACGGCATCATTCATCGATATCGCTCTGTGGTTTTGAGTTAACTCAAACTTACTTCCTTCTGCAGTTCTATTATCCAATGTAAATATGTAAAGTTAGATTGGAAATGTTATCGACACTCTAGCAGCACGCCTACTAAATTCTTTTCTTGTCATTTTCCTCTTGTTCTTGTACATAACATAATAATTATCTTGCAAAGTTATTCTTCATATTTAAATAAGTTTTACTATCAACTGCAAGACGATCTGTTTGTGAATCGTTTTTCCTTTGACAGTTACAAGTGAAATTTGCTAATTGGATAAGTGATGGAGTGGAACAACAATGTGTTTGAAGGATGGCTATGGAATGTCTTTTTTTTTGAATAATTACTCGCTGGTAAATCTCGTGATATTTTTAGTAAATCATTCGCCTTCTAGCCAACAATTGAAGTTAGTCCCAATAGACGGTTATGTAGATAACGGGTTATATCTTGCTCGATTTTGTACAAATCTCTGCCTTTGTGTGCCGTGAACATTGACATGTTGTAGTACAGCTTGGAATTCAAGTACAGGGCCGTATTCGTTAATAAAATATATTCAAATCTACCGGAGTATAATTGTATGGCTTCGCATCCAAGTGTACTGGAGATGATTATTGGGGAGTTACAATTTCAAGTGCAATGCAATGATGAAATGGATTGTTAAAAATTGTGGTCTCAGTTTGCGTATGAGCTATTACCAACCGCTGATTCTTCGGCTGGAAGTCAAGAACGGTGCAGGTCAAATATCGTTTAACGAATCTTCAAAACTTGATGTCGGTAGGTTGAATTTTTCTTTTGGGACCGGGTATTTTGCATTATTTCTATCAAAAGATCGTTTCTGCGTCAGGAGCTATCTTTCAGTGAAAGGCTCCTCACAGTGGAGGAAACAAATAGGATGTTTTGCATAACTGAGACCTATGGGTAAGACATGCGAACAACCCTGACAACGAATTCCAACTCTTTAGCGAAAATCGAAGCTTCTGCGCGATCGCATTGGCGTGCAAGAATGATGCTCGAGTACGATGACCACTTTTCGCAGTGTAATCGTGATATACCCTGAGTTGTCCACTAAAGTACTGGGTGTTTTTCGTCAATTGCCTCTGGGTGCATGTTCCAGGCACTATTTTTACGAATGCTTGAAGAGGTCAGATTCCGCCAGTGTTTCACCCATACCTGTATTGGTTCGTTTTGAGCGAAAATATTGTAGGCTGGGTTTATCTTCTCGTTTTCGTGTCGTACTGGCCAAGATAATAGCGCCAGCATTCATTCTGACATTAGGGTATTTTCTGACAATGAAACCAATGATGGCCTCGAACCATTTTGGCTAGTGGAAACCACGCGCAAGTGGCACTTTAGTCATGTTGCAGAACAGTCTCCGTCAACTATAGAAAGGAACAGAAGACGGATCATGTCTGGCCTCAAGAAGCGCAGTCCTCCAGTTGGAGTCAGTAGCAGGAATGATGGCGCGCAGTGCCGACGCTCACTCTAGCCGCCAAACAACAAATGCGACAGCCAGTTTCGCATGTAAATCTTTCTCAACCTTATAAATATCTCTGTCGAAGGCTAAACCCGCCTCCCATTTATTATTTAACGATTCGAATGAATATGCATTTTTTGTTAGCTTCAAAAGTATTGTGACGTGTTTCACTGATATTATCGGTAATTGCATCGAAGCCTCTCCCCTATTTACTACAAGTGATGGGGTATGAGCGAAACAGTTTGCTTCGCGCGGGAATCAAACTGACACCTTGCGCTTTTTCCGGGAGTGTGCTACCGATAAACACCATGAAACATCGCCTACTGTTCCTCTTCTTTTATCTGCTCATGATATTTTGATCTTCCTTGTCTTCAATTAGCGAATGGTGAAAAATGTCAATTAACGATTCCTTCCTAGGACATTTCGCAACCGCTTACGAATTTTCGTGGCCGTCGTACGTATTCTGAAGTTGTAGTGGAGTCCCTTGAAGGTGACAAATGTATTGACGGTGCGAGCTGTACTTCCGACGCCGAACACCCGCAATCATCCCGACTCTCCAGAGCCGATTCCGACCTACAGGGTTCGTTGTTTTATATTTTGCTAGCTCTGAAGAGTCTTCAAAATGGTTTTGCAATGGTAAAATTGGCCGTATTTCCTTCCATTGTGAATTAGCAGATACTAAGGAAGGAGAAGCGACAAAGGCATAACCAAGAGTCAGAATGTCTCGTTGTTTCAGTTCCCGACACGGTGACTTACTACTACGGAAATCCTTTTGTGGAAAAAACTGAGGGAATTCTTCATTTCTTCAAGTATAAGTAAGATTTTTCACATGTTCGGAAGTCTATCTCACTTTGATAGTGAAATTAATTTCCCTAATGTAATTGATCTACAAAATCTTACAGCGATGAACGCTTGGGTCGAGAGGTTCACTGCCGAATGCTCTGTATGCTTGCTGTGCCATCGCAAATCACGCTTAGAGAGATCCTTCTCTTCATAGGTATATGCTTGTTTTTTTCTGCCTATCGATAGCTCTACATCGTTATGGTTTTCAGGTCCCGGAATGCAGACGATAGAACGAATAAAAATTATAAGAGACTCGACGCCGAACGAATACATGGTCATTCTGAAATTTAAAACCCATGTAAGTTAATGAATTAATGGGATGAGGGTGAAAGAACTCGGAAGCAAAGGTTACTATTTATTATCTGAGAACGAGGACCTTTCAACCCAAAAATGTCTTTGGCTAGCATAGTTATGTGCGGTTATACATATTTTATACAATAGTTTTGCGGCAGCGGTCGTTTAATTCTCTCGATCTCGTAGTGATCCATGAAATCCACATTGCCTCGTAAATTGCATTGGGGGGCCAACGCCGTCTCTGAAGAGACAGTGTTTTCATCTTCCCAGGCAAGTCTTTTCCAATTAGCCGCCCTTGGATGTGTAAAGATAGATGGCCGGAACGATGCATTAACCTCAAGATGATTCGCGGACTATGCGCGCGTGGTAAGCAACGCCACTTGCCACTACACTTCCACCTCGCTTCATGTCAACCAGGGGTGCTGTCTGCCGATTTGTGCTTGATATCCTGTTTGTTTACTCGTAGTGGGGAAAAAAACCTCGAGGAGGTAACGTATGAATGAATTCATCTTTTCTTCCTGATGGGTCTTGCCCAGTCACACTCTTAGAAATGTTTTATTCGTGATGCCTTATTTTGCTACTGAGATCAATGTTTTCCGTATGGGAATGGCTACGGTTCATGTCCAAATTATATGTTCGGTTCTAAATCGCCCCCCATTTCAGAATGACCTCGTTGGTTTTACGACGAGTTTAATGGGACGCAGTTCAATAGCTTGGAACCAAACCGGTGTAGATTGCTGTTTGTGGACAAGATCGAATGCGTACGTTTCATCGATTTTGAATCATTAATCTAAAATATAATGATGTTTTTGTATGACTCGACAACCATTGTTTCTTTGTCTGAGTCAGCTGATTGCACGTTGTAAGGAAAAGATTAGAGCGTAGAGCGAAGAGGATCTGAGTCGAAATTAGTAGTAGTTAAGGGGTGTGGTTTCCCCTAAGAAAAAGAGGAAGAGGGGATTTGGGGGGGGGGGGGGCAAGGACAAGAATTCGTCATAATGCATAAACGGAACTATATGAGCTCAAAGGTATGCGCTTTTTCTGCAGTAAAACCATGTCTTAGGGCGGAAGTGGTGTAGTGACAAGTGGCGCGCTCACCACGCGAGCGGTCCGGGGATCAAATCCTGGGTCGTGAGTCGCCCGGGCCAACCAAGCCTTCCATCCCTCCGGGGTCGGTTAATTGGTACCAGACTTGTCTGGGAGGATAAAAACACTGACTTGTACATCGGCTGGCCCCCGCAAGTCATTGTATAGGCCACATCGCATTCAAACGCCACTGCGAATGTACAAATGGAAGTAGAATGCGTGCCGCATCCCAAAAAGGGATTGATCAACGGCAAATGCTTTATCCTTTATTTTTATTAGCAATTCTTTGATAAATGTATAGTATCAGAAGTAAGGCACCCAAAGTAACATTTGATAAGGCAATGGAAGCTCGAAAAGGTCATAGGCGTACTTGTCAGCCAGTAGGTGTGCTCCCGGCGTTGCAATTTGATCGCCCTCCTACAATGTCTCTTCTTCTTCTTCTTCTCCCTAGCGTTAGTCCCGCGCAGTCGCAGGGTCCGCTGTCTTTGTCAGTCGTCGCCACTTTAGTCTGTCCAGGGCGTCCTCTGCTGTGGCCATGACTTCACTTAGATCCTTCTTGATCACGTCTCTCCACCTCTTCTTTGGGGCTCCTCGCGGTCGCTTGCCTTGCACTTCGAAGTCCATCGCTGTTCTTATCGGATGATCCTGTGGCCTCCTTAGCACATGCCCATACCATCGCAGACGCTGTTCCCGTACCTTCAGCTGGACAGGGGCAGTCTGCATGACCGCTCTAACATCTTCGTTTCTAACTCTGTCCAGCCGCGTCCAGCCGCAGGCCCACCTCAGCATCCTCATCTCAGCGGAGTGAAGCTGCCTTTCGTGGTTCTTGCTCAGGGGCCAGCACTCGCTGCCGTATAGCATCGTAGGCCTTACTACTGTCCGGTACACCCTCCCATACGAACGTTCTGGAGCATCTTCGATCACAGAGGATTCCAGTGGACTCCCTCCATTTCATCCATGCTGTGTTGACCCGAGCCTTCACCGCCTGATCCACACTGCCATCAGCTGCCAGATCGCTCCCAAGGTAGCGGAAGTCCTCCACTCTTTCGATGGTCTCACCATGGCCGTCTACGATCGGCTCTGCACCCTCTTCGGAGCTCAGGAACTTGGTCTTCTTGACATTCAGCCGTAGCCCGCCTTCTGCCAGGACCTTCTGCCATTGCTGCACCTTGGCCTGTAGTTCCTCTCTACTATCCGCTATCAGGGCGATGTCGTCAGCGTAGAGGATGGTCTCCTAATAATCTTTCCATGAGGCTGCTCAAAATCCTCCTGTACTACCTAGTTTGAAGCAATGTATTTGATGATTTTGATGTCAGGCGTCCGAGGACGAAGTTGCAACACTGTGCTCGAGTTCGGCGACGTCAAGTGATGGAGCTGGTTCATCAACCTGCCTCACTGAACTGCCCACGTGTGCTGTGTGTTTGGAACGCATGGATGATAGCGTAGTTTCCATCCTTTGCAATCATACGTTCCATGCTGGCTGCATTGAACAGTGGACTGACACTACCCATGCTGGCTGCATTGAACAGTGGACTGACACTACGTGAGTACTCGACAACTGCATTTTCTAGATTAAGATGGGCAAATATAGCCCTTTGAAATGAAGTCAAAGAAATGCTTTCGTTTGCAGACCGTCTTCCTAAGAGTAAGTTCTGTTATTGTAGGTGTCCGGTATGTCGTTACATTCAAACCCCGGAACTTGTGGCCGAGCAACGCTGTTCAATTTGTGGACAAAGTTCGGACCTGTGGATATGTCTCATTTGTGGGAATATTGGTTGTGGTCGTTATGCTGAGGGACATGCCTACAGGTGAGATTGGTCTATTCTAGCACAGTTTCGAATAATTTGCACAAATTCAGGCATTTTGAAGTTACATCGCACACCTTCTGCTTACAAGTTGGAGGCCAGAGAGTGTGGGACTATGCTGGAGACAACTATGTCCACCGGCTCATACAATCGGACACCGAAGGAAAAGTTGTAGAATACCAAAGGGGTGATCGCGAGGTATGAGGACTGTGTTGTCTTTATTTTACAACCTCATTTTCTAGTTTCTTTTGAAGCATGAACGTGTGCGTATGAAACCTAAAGCACTGGTCTAAGAGCCTGGCTTTCTGAAAACCTGCTAGAGATGTGATGCAAACAAGATCTTGATTTTCTGCTCCGCCTTGCTCTCTATGCTAGAGAGATTTTCTGCATAGTGCTGCTTCTTCACGCATTGATGCGTCGCGAGAATGCTTACATGCAACCTTATCTCGATAGTGATAGGGTGAGCTGTGAACCGCTTAATTCAGGCAGAATCCGATGAGAAAAAGGAGAAGTTGGACGGAATAAAACTGGAATACACATGTTTACTAACCAGCCAGCTGGAAAGTCAAAGAATGTATTTTGAGGTAAGTTTTAATAGAAATACCTATACGTTTATCTTAACGTTTCCTTTTTTGACGGATTGGAAGTTTCAGGCCCGTTTAGCTGATATGGAGCGAGCTATGAACAACATGGAAGAAGATGGCTCAGGCACAAGTAAGAAACTTGCGAATAATCTTTGGTCATAAATACTGATACTCATATGCTCACGATCGTTTTCAACTCGGTTTCAGATCGATGATTTGGAAACGAAATTATCGCAGTCTACGAACGAGTGTAAAGAGCTACGAAAGGAAGTGCAGGAAGCGACGGCAACGAAGCAAGCGAATGAGAAGAAACATTCTCAGACGGTTAACAAGCTTGCAAAGGT